TATTGAATACATAATAATTAAATACAAAAAAATATTTTGAGTAAGTGGTGTTGGTCCCTGATCAAGTTATATAGTGACTGATTAAGGCAGTGATCCAGTAAATGTGGGCTAAGATGTGAGAAGAACCTCATAGTTTTTTCAACTCAGGTAAATTGTGTAACAAAAATTACAGGACATCCCAGTGGATATAAGAATATTACTAATTGTCGAGTCTGAGTTGTCATGACGTGTTAGACTTAGACGTCATATTATATTTTCGTATTTTTTGTGGTTTTCCATTCTTTTTAATACAATTTTTTGGTCTTAATAAAAATGATTGATAAGATTTAACAAGATTGGGACATTTCAATTTTTTTTTTTTGGTTATGATAAAATTGGAAATTCCAATATTTTTGTTGTAAAAATTAATTACCATCACTTTGGGATGATTAAAATGTTGCCTGGTTTGCTGTAAAATTTGCTCTTAATACTTCATGTAGCTACGTATACAATTGAGTTAAAAAAAATTGTGGTAGGGCAACTAATGTCTAATGCACACATAAACATATTAAAAAAAAATCAAAAAAACTAATTTATTTTTCAGACTTTAATCCAGCTACTCAATTTTGTGAAAGTAGAATTGATGAAAACAGAAGTTTTTTTGTGCAATTTTATCGTCCATAAGAAAAATATATGTAATATGGGGTGAATCAAACATATTTTCTTTTTTTCTTTTTGAACCTAATATTTATAATTTATTTTCCAAGAAAACAATAGGTATGCTATTAAGTCCTAAAAGACACAAACAATAAGTTTATTGATGCAGTTTATTGAGTTTATTGATTTATTCATGGATGTGTGAATTTTCCATCTGCACTACTATATATTGTAATTTGTAACACAATTTTTCTCATTCCCTTTATATTGTTTAATTACTATATTACTATCATTATTACTATTTTTAAATTTATTAAATCATTTATTCAAATTTATATCATAATATGTGCGTATTGATTAATATACTGTGTCACACAATAACGTCAATTAAACATGTATTTTACGTTGCTTGCTAATAATTAATAAAGTTGTTATATATATATATATTATATCTTATGTATAAAATATATCGTGTAACTACCTGTATTATGTTCGTTCACACTAATCTCTAAAACCACTTAACCAATCGCTACATGAGAAATCGAGTGAATATCTAATATTGTAAAATTATGAACTTTAAACGCTCATAAAAATTTAATTTGACTTTATAGTAGAGATTTTTTTATTGATAAATGTAGACAAACTTAATATGAGTAATCTTGTATTACATTGATTATTATTTATTATTTTGAGATTGGTGACTTATTATCAAATACATTTATTTAATTTAGAACGAAAAAGTTCTAATTTAGTGAAGAAAAAAAATATATCATCAACCAAATAAAGGACCTGAAAAAATCTGAAGATTTTTTTTTACTTTATAGGTTATGATAAAAAAAAACCAATTGCTAGTATTAACGCAGAAAAACTTTGTATATTTTTAGATGTGCCAATCATTAAAAAGATAATAATATAGTTTCAATTTGAAAATAGTTTAAAATGGCTCTACTGACCAATTTTATATTTTAAGATAATATCTTTTGGTTCTAATTCCTCTTATTTATTATGACGTGTCTCACAGTTTTTTCCTTTTAAAAAGTAATTACAATTTAAATATTATTAATATCCGAGATTAATAATAACTACGATGGGAATCCGTCTAAGCATATTATTCAAAATATTTGTTTAATACAAAGTCAAATAAATGTGGGAATTGTAAACTAAGTGTTACTTCAATGTAATAAGGATTTGCACATTATACTAGATGGGCCGGCTATCACCCTGATGACAGATTTATCCAAGAAGAGCGATACAAGTACTGTAGTTAGTAATAAGTAACTTTTTTTCTTATGTGAACTAATCGCAAGCAAAAATAAATAAATATTGGTTATATCTATTATTTAAACCTTCTTTTAATCGTAAAAATCGGTCGAGCATATTTTGATTCTATAAGTCTCAATAATAATATACCTAAATTAATACTTGGCTTTTATATTATATCTCTTATGGCCTGTTAAAGATCCTAAAATAATATGTATGCGATTTATGTAATTTGATGTAAAAAACTTTGGTTTTGCATAATATCCGTCATTTAGATAAACCCCAACAAATAATATCTGTATTTGCCAACTGTCTATTATAATCGATATATCTATTATTTCCGTTTTGCTTTAGTAGAAATATTCCCAATTGTTAACCGTCAAAATCTGAGGAGTATTTTTTTTTTAGCATAGGTACAAACGTCCTGAAACCTCAACCATTCACTTATCCAGTTATCCACTAATATATACACATGTTTAATAACTGTTGGTCAATTTTACATTTAATAGATTGAAAAAGTTTATTAGTCCATATGACAAAACATAATGCAATAAAGACAATTGTATCCAATCATATTAAGTAGTAATAACTATTTTATTATAATATAATATCAAATAAACAAAATAATATTCGATGTTCGTTAGCCGAAACAAACGTCATGGCTTACAGCCGATGTGGCCTATATATGGATTGAAAAACGTAACCAGAAACCTTCGCCTAGTCTCAAGGAATCTATTGGTATACTTTTTATTGAAAACAACCCAGTAGTTTTAGAGTATACAGAAGATAGAATTATTATTCATTATTCATTGGTTATGGTAGGTACTAATAATATTCTTTTGGGGTGTTGATTTTTAAAAATACTCAGAAGTGTTTAATACAGTCACACAGTAGACTACCTAAACAAATAAATTATTGTTTTGCCATTTATTTGATTCTATGTGAGAAGAACACACAACAATTTTAATTTTAAGAATAAATTATCAACCTGCAGTAATAGATTCGAACTGAACACTATAAGCTGGCAGACTATAAAAAAATATACACTACAAACAAACAGAGTCATTTGCTGATGAACTTATTTATCAATAATATCTAATGTGAGTATTGTTTACGTTATTTTACTATTTGTGATCATGATGTACATATTTAAAGTTATAGTAAATTTATTGCATAATAGTTATATACAATGACTAAAATATTAAGAATTTTATCTGTTAGTTATAAATTTATAAATATACACTCGGAAATACTTTACTCCTGCTGTATGGGAGACTATGGTGTGCCATTAAAATATCAAAAGTTAAAAATATTTCTGTTGGAAATACCCCCCTTAATATTGTCCCTATTACTTCATGATATAATCCCATTGATTAAATAGTATTTTGTCCGAATCCGAAAGTAAAAATGGTTTTCAGTGTAGGTACTTTAAGTTATATTTTTATTATACAAACACTTTCTTAAGATCTAATTTTTAATTAGATATGGATTAATATACTTACATTTCAAACTGTGTACCTATTTTGAATTATAAAATATAATTATAAATATAAACATTAATTTGTTATAATATACTATCGGTAGTAATTTGTATTGAACATTTTAGGGTTACCGATTAGGTATGTTTAAAAGTTTTTTTCTGAGGTTGAATTCTTGCAAATAACATTATTTTGAATGATAATGATCGGAGAACTCGTGCTCCCTACATTCTCTGGTGTGTTGACGGAGTGGCAAAGCTTTGACAATTTATTCACATCAATACTTTCACACACTCCTGACCTGCCAGACGTTAAACGTTTTGAGTATCTAAAAATTTCTCTCACGGGTGAAGCTCTAGCCCTTGTGTCGCATCTCACGCTAACCGCTACCAACTATACAAGTGTATACAAGTGCTTGGAAAATCTTGCGGTCCCGATACGGCAAAAAAACGTGATCTCGCTCGTGTTCACCTAGATTCTCTGCTTGCTACACAGATAGTTAAATCGAATGACGCTACCTCTATTCAACAGCAAATTAACACAATATTAGAGAACACAGCTGCTTTGGACAACCTCGATTTTGTAACCCGACAGTGGAGTCCTCTTCTGGTGCAGGTTTTGAGAAGCATTTAGATTACGAACTACGTGATCGGTGGGAATTAGTCGTTGGGAATAATTATTATCTCCAAGTCTCTGAATTTGTGGATTTCTTGCGTAGCCATCTGCGTTCTGCGTACATCTATTCCAGTTCTGTTTCAGTTAACCGACCAGATGATGTTTCAAAAACAAATGTTTCAAACCCCAAAGGTCTTTTAAGCAACAACGTTTAAAGCCTCGCTCGTCAGGTCCCTCCACAGTCTTAGCCGCAACGACCAGTAATGTGTCTGAAAAATCTTCACCACTATGTAACTCACCCCATTCGATTAGATCATGTACGCTATTTACTGATCAGTCTCCAAGTGAACGCTTTCTTATTGCCAAAAGCCATCGGTTGTGTATAAATTGTCTGGAGTCCTGGCATTCTTCAATGAGTTGCAATTCGAAGTATAAATGTCAGACATGTAAGAAAGCTCATCACTCACTGTTGCATTTTACTTCTACTGCTAGTCCATCAACTACGTTAGGCCCAAGATCATCAAATACTGTATCCCCAAAGACGCCAGAGCATCTGTCCTCGGTTGGGTCACATTTTGCGACAACATCGTGTCTTGTTAGAGGACAACCGCAGAAAATAGATCTATTGGCCACAGCAATAGTTGAAGTCTATGCTGCCGATGGACGGCGACACACTCTAAGAGCTTTGTTAGACAGTGGGTCCCAAGCTAGTTTTATCACTGGGAGAGCGGTGTGTGCTCTTATGCTTCGTCGTTTCCATTCGTCGGTCAGCGTTAATACGTTTGCTAGTTCAGCTTCTACCGTTGTTAGGGGCAAATGCAATATTAAGATTGCTCCCTCTGGTCAACAATAGGTACGTATATATCAATACTGTTTATTGTATATCTTTTATAATTTTTTATTGAGTAAAAAAATTTACATGACAAAGGTACAAAATGAATAATGGGTAGATACCGCGACGACGGTGTGATAACAAATTTGTGTATGGGTATTATTTAATAATAATGAATTTCAATAGAACTTGAAGTGAGATGATGATTTGTATGGATGAAGTGATTCGTGATGATGGTAACCAATGTCAGAGTGTTCACTGTGATGATAGGGTGCTTCGATTTTCTTGACTACAGCGTTGAAACCGTGCTCGTGGTCGGCGGTGTACTCGACAAGACGTGTTGAACCATCGGCTTCTACTAAGCTGTAAGATCCTTTGACATTACCATGGCCGTCGCTCACTTCGCTTTGGCTTTTGATGTCGTGTGTATGGAGGTCTTTTACGCCGTACTCGAAATGATACGGTGCAGGTGCGTGAGCATAGTGATCGTGGTGACCATCGTTGTAGCTTTTGTACTCGGGTGGGTAAGCAATGGCCATTTGTCCAATCAGGGCAGCAAATACAATCAGCTGAAATTTTCATAACGTTTTTGGTTATTATATAGTCCGATATCTTGAATAAAGCCGATGTTATATTACATATATTTGATATAATAGGTAATATATTATATATATAATATATACCTAAATGAAAGTGTGTTGGCATAAAATCTTTAATAGTAAATCAATTGTCATATAATTAATTCAATATTTTCAAATATTAAGAGTTCTTGATTTGGTATTATAATATAGGTATTATTTCATAGAACACAAATTTATAAAAATATACAAATTAATACCTATTTGGTTTAAATTTCTGTCTGCGCATAGGAAGTAAAAATTAATCATAAAATACTTATTTTATTTATCTAGGTTTCTAATAAAGTTACCTAGTTATAACTTATAAATAATAAATGTACAATATCTTACCTTTGTAGTCATTTTGAATTTTTTGTAGATGCGTTCACACTTTTACGAGATGAGATTTTTAAAAATAAAGTGTATTCTTCACAAAGAATGAACTGGGTAGGTACTGATAACTATTGGATCTTATACTGTGCAGATCCCTCCTATATCAGATTGTTCAGTATTCACACAGATATGTTATAGTTTAGAATTATTTTAGATAGGTAGTTATTGACTAAGAAATGGACACGCAGTTACATCAACTCATTAAAAAAAAAATACATGAAAATATACAATCTAGTGGTAAAAATATAAATCGTCTATACGACTATACCTACGAGTTACGACCTACTTAATATTATTTAATATTATATTACCATATTCTATGTTACATTACAAACAATGAAGTAATATTTTTTTATTATAATAAACTTTAATTTATTTTGTGTTTTAATTTTTAAACATAGTAAGTACAATCAATTACATACATTTTTATTTTATTGTGTATAATAATAATTTTGTAGTTAAAAATGTATAAAATGTTAAACTTTTATAGCTAAGGATTATAAATTTTAAAAAAAAGGTGGGCAAGTGGGTGTCGCTCTGCTGTACAGTAGGTTACAAGTGGGTCACTGTATAATGGATGGTATTACATTTGAATTCAATGATATTATATCATTGTATAAGAAAAACGATTCTGAGCGGAGACGGTATGTCCTTCTAGGTACAAGACGTACAAACCTTCTATTTTAATCGTAAAAATCGGTCGAGCATATTTTGATTCTATAAGTCTCAATAATAATATACCTAAATTAATACTTGGCTTCTATATTATATCTCTTATGGCCTGTTAAAGATCCTCAAATAATATGTATGCGTTATGTAATTTGATGTAAAAAACTTTGGTTTTGCATAATAACCGTCATTTATATAAACCCCAACAAATAATATCGGTATTTGCCAACTGTCTATTATAATCGATATATCTATTATTTCCGTTTTGCTTTAGTAGAAATATTCCCAATTGTTAACCGTCAAAATCTGAGGAGTATTCTTTTTAGCATAGGTACAAACGTCCTGTTACCTCAACCATTCACTTATCCACTAATATACACACATGTTTAATAACTGTTGGTCAATTTGACATTTCATAGACTGAAAAAGTTTATTAGTCCGTATGACAAAACATAATGCAATAAAGACAATTTTATCCAATCATAATAAGTAGTAATAACCATTAGGTAATAACTATTTTATTATAAAATAATATCAAATAAACAAAATTATATTCGATGTTCGTTAGCCGAAACAAACTTCATGGCTTACAGCCAATGTGGCCTGTATATGGATTGAAAAACGTAGCCAGAAACCCTCGCCGAGTCTCAATGAATCTATTGGTATACTTTTTATTGAAAACAACCCAGTAGTTTTTGAGTATACAGAAGATAGAAAAAAACAAAAGAAATAAACATTTCTGTTCATATATTAGATTTGAAACCGTATTAAATTACACTACAGCAGTAAAACAGTTTAATTTAAAATAATAAACTGTCATTTCCTATTGTGATAAGCTGTAAATATAATGACTTCGGACCATTTATTGATTATACACATATTGCAACATTGGTTTCGGTAAAACATCATTATTCATTAGTCATGGTAGGTACTAATAATATTCTTTTAGGGTGTTGATTTTTAAAAATACACAGAAGTGTTTAATACACTACCGCAACAGTCACACAATAGACTACCAAAACAAATAAATTATTGTTTTGCCATTTATTTGATTCTATGTGAGAAGAACATACAAAAATGTTAATTTTAAGAGTAAATTATCAACCTGCAGTAATAGATTCGAACTGAACACTATAAGCTGGCAGACTATAAAAAAATATACACTACAAACAAATAGAGTCATTTGATTGATGAACTTATTTATTAATAGTATCTAATGTGAGTATTGTTTATGTTATTTTACTATTTGTGATCATGATGTAGGTATTTAAAGTTATAGTAAATTTATTGCATAATAATTATATACAATGACTAAATTATTAAGAATTTTATCAATTGGTTATAAATTTATAAATATACACTTGGAAATACTTTACTCCTGCTGTATGGCAGACTATAGTGTGCCATCAAAATATCAAAAGTTAAAAATATTTCTGTTGGAAATATCCCCCTTAATATTATCCCTATTACTTCATGATATAATCCCATTGATTAAATAGTAATTTGTACTAGAAATCAGAAAGTAAAAATGTTTTCAGTGGAGGTACTTCAAGTTATATTTATATTATACAAACACTTTCTTCAGATCTAATTTTTAATTAGGTATGGATTAATATACTTACATTTCAAACTGTGTATTTTGAATTATAAAATATAATTATAAATATAAACATTAATTTGTTATAATATACTATCGGTTGTTATTTGTATTTAAAATCTTAGAGTTACCGATTAGGTATGTTTAAAGTTTTTTTCTGAGGTTGAATACTTGAAAATAACATATTATTTTGAATGATAATGATCGGAGAACTCGTGTTTTGTTGTAGGTATAGATATAGGTAAATGTATTAGGTAATGAGAATACCTTATACATCGTAATTATTGAAATATGCTTGATTATAGAAAATCGATACATTTTATGTACAACTTAAAATGGTGATGATAAACACAAAAAATTAAACATAAGAAATACAGAACATTGTAAAACCAATACATTCGTAAAATTATAATAAATATAAAAATGTACCTATATTATAAACTTTATTAATAGGAATATTAACAAAAACAATATTTAAAATATAATATATTTGTATAAGTGTTATTGTGGTTTGTATAAACGTTTCATCATTATACTAAAACCTATTTTATCAGGGCCGAGAACGATCAACGACGAGGTGTCGCTAGGATGATAATAATTGTTATGTTAATCGTCTGCTCGATCGTTGCCGTGACAATCTTTTGGGTCATTTGGTCTCCGAAAAATCACTCACCCACTGAAGACCTACGGCTTTTTATGGTAAACAGTGGCTCCCCATCCATGGGCGACACAGTCCATGACGGTCGTTTAAAAGTCAGACGGTCGAAAGTTTCCGGTACCACTAGGACACCGGTGATCGAAAGGTACAATATGAAATACAAAATGTTTGTTAAATCTAGGAATCAAATTAAAAACCCACACGTCATTATTTATTGAGTAAAGCCATTGAACAAGCAACAGGAAATGTTTAAGTAAAATCTATAAAATTAAATTGACCAATACTCAAGTACCAGACTTTTTAATGCAGCCCAACCTAGGTCACCGTGTAACCGTAATAAAACTTATCGTTGTGTTTTTTAAACTGTCAATATCATATATTAATATATCTCTGGATATTTGATTACAATTCGACAAATTTAATGTTATTTATATTGTATGCTTACTTTACAATGATGATATTATTAGATGTCCATCGTAATTTGTACCGTGTTTATTGTTATGATTGTATAGTGTGCACTGTATACACATCAATAATACATTATTTTCATTGTAAATTCATTATAAATGTATTTGTTGACAGAAATATAAATCGCTACGATTACTCTAATATGGAAACTAATAAATTGGTGGCAAATCAATATGGGTCGAATAGCTATCGAGACTCTTACGATCCTACGTATAATGTTGGTGCCTACGGTGGATTTAAACAAGATGATGGTAAGGTTATTGGTATTCCTGCAGGATCAACTATCACTAATGGTCCTGGATTTGGAGTGAACTATTCGCCTGCTTATGGTCCTTACAACTGGCCGGTAGAGAACACACCTATTATTGAGCATCATAAACTGACATCGCACCAACCAACACCGATTACAAATAGTCCTACACTAGAAAGCATGACTCCAGACACACGCCAGAGCCAGATTCCGCAAAATAAAATAGTGATACCGATACCAAATGATTTTTTAATCGATTGGCGTAAAATGTTTATAATAGCACTCGGTAAATTGGTGCTGGTCAAGCTAAAAGCGTTTTCTGTCATAAAAATATTATTATTTCTAATGTTTAAACTCAAATTTATCATGGTAATAATATCTGCGTTCAAGTTTATATTACTTTTTAAATTTATAAAATTCTTCAAGGTGTTATTACCATTATTCCTTTTACCACTGTTTCTTATTATGCTGCTCTCTCCCTTATTTTTTATTTCGATATATTCTATTCCGGAACGCATAGTCCAATTGTTAAGGATGCCAATGGGCGCACCGGCAACTCCAGCGGCCATGCCTGCGCCTGTACCAGCACCAAGTAATCCAGCACCAATTAATCCAGCACCAAGTAACCCAGCGCCAAGTAACCCAGCGCCAAGTAATCCAGCTCCAAGTAATCCAGCGCCAAGTAATCCAGCTCCTTCAATAAGTGAGTCAGAACTCTTAACGCCACGTCGACAATAAACATTGCCCCCAAGTTGAGTATATTAATACTAATAATATACTGGATTTCAGATACTTTAATCGATCCCTTCAATGTACTTGGGCGGCCAAAATGAATTCAATCGAGTTATCAGATCCAACCTTATTTGTATTTCAACAGTTTTAAGATACAGATAAATATTTGTTAAGAATAACTGTCTTGTCTTATTACTGGGATAGAAACCTTGGTACCATGCCCTCATGGATCAATTGGTGAGTGTAAATAAATGTTTTACATTGCATTATCATATAAAAAATATAACAAATAGTATGCTAATAATTATTTTATATTATCTATACTCCATTAAATCTAACATTCAAAAAACTGAAATTCTAAGCTTGTATTTTGTAATGTAAGTACAATATTTAATTAAGAAATTGCTATGGAGAATTTAGATAAAATACACATAAAAATGTCCATTTTCAAAGAACTATGTAAAAAACAGATAATTGCAAAAATAATCGGAAACGTCATAACATAAATCACAGCCTTTTAGACGCTATAACTATATCTTGATAACTGAATATATATACATTTATATTTATACATACCTATGTGTATATTTGCACCGTATATATGCCATGAATTTCTTTAATTATGAATTTTAAATTATATTCAAACTTAATAAATTAATATAGTAATTTAATTTAGTTTCATTTTACACTTTTTATATTTGATATTATTTACATTAACCATTAAATTATTTTATTTTAGGATACTAAATGGTGTGTTGAACGTCTTTTCAAACAAATACTTTGTACCTACCATAATATTTCAAAGGGTACATGCAATGATGTAAATAATGACATAATATCTACCAATTAATTAACTACCGGTTGTTTTGAAAACATGCTGATCAGAACAATATAACTGTGATGTGCAGTGATAATCACCACTAATAGTGATAGACACGAAGAAAAAAAATTATTATCTATAATATTAGTTGTATATAAAATTATTTTTGTATCTAATGTGTACTATTATTTTATATCCTGATATAAATAAATGATTAATTTAAATAATATTATATAATAAACCTCCTATACATAGGTATCTCATATTATATCATTTTTCTTTTATATTTTACCAATAAAACTATTAAAGCTTCCAATGTCCTAATCATATGTTAATATTATTAAAAATAGTTATGTATTAATAATTTTCAATTTGAATTTGAAACTCAGCAATTAAATTGTTCATTCAAATAGCGTTCTACAATCAAATAGCCTTATTGATTACCTATACCATTGATTATACAAATTATACGTATTGTACTTTTTATTATGATTTATCATTTCAACGTCGAAGAAGTGACACCTAAATAGTTGTCATTGTTATGAGTACCTATACTTACTATGTAACATCCACATAGCCAATAGAAATTAGGTACAGTTACACTATTTATGTAGTTGATTACTCATCTCCTACTATATTATTTAAAAAAGTGTTTAGTAAATTGAAATGATTATTAATATTGTGTACTATACGTCAGAAATTATATATAATATTCAAAAGTATTTAGTATACCTATTATTTATATTAGGACTAGAATAAAATCCATCCAGGCATTCAGTTCCGGTCGTTGAAAAAAATTGATTTAATGCAAAGGAAATAAATTAACAATGATATTACTGAAATAAAGAATTAATACAGTTTTAAATTCAAAGTCATGAATCATGATTAATGTGAATCTAAAACTCATGAGCTTGGAAAAGAAAATTTGGAATCATCTCTTATTCTATCTGATGTCTTAGAAATTTATTTCGGTCCATCGTTTGAATTTTAAATCTAATTTTTAAAAACTGATTTTGCGAAGATTTTGATTGCCTATAACTTTTGAACATAAATTTAATATTGAATTACCTTAAATAATAGTTAATAACTATAATTCGAGTTAGATAAATTCTGTCAATATAGTAAAGTAAATGAAAAACGTCACTTTAGAAATGCCACTAACCAATGAACATCTAGTGTGTGCCTACAATATTGTAAGTTAAAATAACTTCTAAGTTCTGACTATGGACTAACAAACGTTGGACTAGAAAAACATATCAAAACTTTGCAGTCGTGATGGTATACATCAGTATATTATGTAATATTAATGTATTAAGAATCAGCAATGTCTGTATACTGTAGCAATATTCGAAACAGTTTGATAATACATATTTTTATAAACATATTTTATATACATTTAACTTAGGTACCTAAATAATCAATAAATATTTATAATATTTTATCTATTAATATTTTTTTTATTTATATTTTATGTTTTGTGCGAACGTCACATTTATGTTCCAAGTTTGTATTTTTCTACTAATTGTACTATTTTATCATTTAATAATCATTATAAAATAACAATGTCATTATAGTTAGCATTTAAAACCTACAAAAATAAAAAAATGTATTGCTATAGTTTCTTTGTTTCATTTTAATGTATCACATAAAGATTAGTAACAATAACTTGAAACTTAAAATGTTGAATTGAGTAGATTTTTTTCATATGAATTATGATTTAGGTACTATTTGAAAATACAAAATAATTTTAAATTATTGAAGTTTGATCATTCTCGATGTTTTTAAACTTTAAACTTAATTCAAAGATTTTTAGCCATCCTAATCATATATTCATATAATATAACTATTGATTTAGAATTGAGGCAAATTGATCACTGTTATTTACCAAAAACATGTTTGTGATTAAAACAAATATCAGTGTATGTTTTTCAGTTTTTGTAGGTTTTTAAATGTTTTCCAATGAATATCGAACTATGCGAGATAGTTTTGTTAAATATTATGCTCATAAAAAACAGTAAATAAAACGGGTACCTATATATTAGGTATTTAGGTCGGGAAGAATAATAACTAAATATAGAACATATTTTAAAATAATTGTCTGTATGCACGTTGCAAATAATTTGTAACAGTACATAATATGTAATTATTTTTTATTGGATATGGAGTTAAATATATAATAACAATATATACGCCTATTAGTATCTATGTGTGTGTGTGAGGGGGGCGATACAATACAACCATATATCAGTGAAGTATAATGAATCAGTAACTCGATGTAAGTATTCCTGCAAAGAGTAAGAATTAAATTGCTACGTATGGATGACTTTTTGAATGAGTGATATTTTCGTGTAGAGGACGAGCACCTATGTCTGATAGATGATGATATCCTATGATAAATTATGATACTTTGGACGGATACTAATTTTATGTATCAATGATGTGAGTATGCATTTCAGTTAAAAATAAATAAATATATATATTATATTATAAGTTTATATAATCCAATAAATGTTAAAAAAATGTATGTAAAAACAAGCATTAGGTTTAAATGAATTATTTATTTCAAAATCCATTTACATTAGTCGGTAGTACAATAAGATATAAATAATGAATTAAGTAGGCATGGGAAATCGTCATAGTTAACCGTATAAAATACATTACCAAAATAGAAAATACAATTTTGATTTTTTGAGTTTAAAAATTTAATTATTACAAATAAAAAAATACTAAAAATATTTTTTATTCCAGATTTTTTATAAGGTTGATTAATTTTACGATATTACCTATAGGCCTAAAGTAGCGATTTTCAACGAGTGGGTAATGAGCCATGAGGTCATCATATACTTTTAGTAATTTAAAAAAAATTATAGTTAAATAAATAAATAAATATTAATATCGCTCAATTTGATAAAAAAAAATTAAATTAATTAGAGAATAAGTAAATAGTATTTTTATCAATCATATTTTTTTGCCTAAGACATAATAATATGATTTGCAAAATATAAATAATAACTATATTTAGTCATTTATCGAATAACGTTGAAAACCACTAACTTATAGAGTACCTATTCTTATATAATGATACGGGTTAAGTTCAAACAGTCCAATTAGAAATTAAACCGTGATTGTTTGAACACATTTAATATTAAAAAGAAATGACTTAAACTTGATGAAATATAATTGTTATCACGCCTGCACCGGAAAGCGACCTTTTTCCGTCTGGTGAAGTGGAAATCCTCAGAAGCTGGGCACGCATATCAAGCGTACCCCTGCACAACCAGACACTGAAATCCGTAGGTACTATGGTCCTTATAAAACATAAACTTTTGGTTATGTCTTATATTCATATTATAACCCTCATGCATGACGCTTAAAATAAATAAAACCAAATCGTTTCTTTCATTAAATATAGTTTTTGTAGAACTATTGTCTGGTTGTTGCATGGATCCTTGAATTACATTTGCAGTGATCGATTAACGCAGATGCGTGACAAAAAATAGTCGGTGGCTCATGTGGGAAGGAAATTTCCTATGGTAAAATGAAAATCCAAAAAAGTGATGAACACAATAACTTTATAAATTATAATTCATTCAGTTTGATATTTTTAATGTTGTGCGTACTCACTTAATAATTACAAGTAATGTAATTTAGAAATTTATTTATTAAACATACCTACCTATAAACAGTATAAAATCATCAAAAAGTGATTTTTACAGGCCTGAAAACGATCAAGAAAGAAGACCCATCGTTATCACTTCCAACTTAAAAATTTTAGTGATCGTAATAGTGACTATAGCCCTAACGTTCTTGTTTGTTCGATCCAATCAAACGATGACCAATACACCAAAGTTGGTTAAAACAATTTATAACACAGTTGACTCTGGATTAATGGCAAACAACAGCAAACATCGTTTGGTATTTCCTGCTGTTAACGTATCTATGGTCGGTAACAGTACGAAAGATATCGACACAGATCACCCTTTTCCACAGAAACCGAATGGCATTCTGAGAAACGACCAGGAAGTGACTATGTCAGTGACCAAAGAACAACCATTAAATAAAAATGTACAGGACATCAAAGAGTTTCGGTCTGAGAAAACGGGATTAATACAAGATGACTATTTCGTAGTTAAACCAATTTTATATTGGAACAAATTAAATGGTTATATGACCAATAACACAATTG